TCTTTTCGGTTCCTTGGATTAACACGATCCAGAACATTTCATGTAACTCATACATTACATGAATGCCCTATGATCTTCTGATCTTGTTGGTACTACCAAGGTTACAGAGATCCCATTCCAACCGATCGTCGAAAGACAGTAGCCGTCATACAAGTAGAATATTCGAAATTCATCGCCAGTGGGTTTCGAACCCCTATCTGGCCAACATATCGCTTGGGGTGTGATAACTTAACCACTTCACTAAGTTGCCACACCCTAGTGAGAAATCTTAATTGTGCTATCCGAGAAATATTTATTACAGATAATCGACTTGGTATAGTTGACTAACTAATTTTTAAATATTAGCTTAGTCAGATTGATAGACTACAGGCACTGCTAGTTTTTTGATATATATATAATGAATACTAACTTATATATAAAATTATCTTTTTTTTAATTAGGTAAAAAAAACCTGCTCTGTTTCCAGCAATTTGTCAGGAAAATTATATTCCTAATGAGTTGCATTTGCTTTTGCGTATTTTAGATGTTTTGATAAAATGTCTTTTTAATGATTTGTATAAAAAAAAGAGTTTGAGAAACATATCAAGCCAATTGTTGAAACGGTATTCAAAGATCTTGCAATTACATTTGAATTTTTCAAATCTAGTAACAAATGGAGTTGGACTTCGTTAGTAGGTTCAGACAAAAAAAAATGTTGGAAAAATTTCCAGTAACTCGGTTCATTTCTGGTATGTGTGGAAATAAGATTGAACAATTGTGGCATGAATTTTATCAGTTGTACAATGTCTTACAACAATCGCAACTTTCAGATCAAGAAATCTGTCAGTATAAAGTTGATGCGAAAAATTGGGTTCGAAACTTTTGCTGCCCAAGTCAAGGTTATATAAATTTGTTGCAAAATTTTGGGCTTTATCGGAAGGCAGATATCACACCGTACATGCATATATTCACAAAATATATTCCTTTATTTATATAGCAGTTAAAGGCAAAAGATCTCTCTTTGCAACTTTTTTCTACCTCGAGTATAGAAAAGAAAAATTACAATCAGGTAACATAATCTTTAATTAATTTAGTAATGGGATCTTCTGAATTATTAATGATTAGTAATTGATTGATCGAATATAATAATAACTTACAGATTTTGGCCATCAATTTCGGACACCTCTATCAAGAATGCATCTACTTTAAAATATTTGTTATTATTTAGAGTAGATACATTCTTGATAAGGGTATTCGAAATTGAATATGGCACAGCTAATTAGTATAAGATATATAAAAAACAAAAAGTTGCGTCAATATTTTCTCAAAAATCGCTGAGATACTGGCGAACTAAATTTTTATTAAATCTGTTGGTAGTTTATTTAATTTATTATATCAATAGTATTAGCAATGATCGAAGGAAAATTTATGTATTGATTATTGAAAATAATTATTTTATTATGTTACTTTTGTCCTCTCTAACTAAAGCTAATTTTCAACTTAGCCAGTCAAGTTTTTTCAAGATCGGCTAATCAATTTTTATTAAAGGTTTATAATTAAAAAAAATAGCATATTTCAGAATATACTAAGTATTAAAATCTGTGTTTCGAAATATTAAAATCAGAAAATGGAATGGGGTTCTTGAAGACCTGAGAATACATGATAGTATTTGATGAGTTTGGTTTAAAAAGAAAAAGACACAAAGAAACATGTACTCATTGCAACTGATATAATATGTCAAAAGCTTGATATCTAACATGTAATCCAAAAATAATACAAGAGTGGACAAGTAAAAATAAAAATATTGATGATTGTATTAAAAACTTTCAACTTAAAGCCACAAAATATAAAAAGGTGATCGAATAAATTCCTTTTGGTAAATTAGACAATATTCAAAAAATTGA